GATCTCATGGCAGCCCTTCCCTGGAACGTTCTCACTGGCGCCAACATCCCCGAGCCCACGTCGTTCGAGATCACAGTCGGTTGTCGCTTGGGGTTCCTGATCGAGAGATATTCGGCGGTGGAGTTCCAAGATCTGATTGCCTATTGGGAGTCCACGCATCGTTTTCCAGTTCCATCATCCTTGATCCGTAGCGATCCGTACTTGGTCACTTTCGTCGTGGAGCGGAAGAACCGTCGGTCTTATGCGGGCGCTCGGTGGAAGCAGATCTTGAACCGCAGATCTTAAACCTATTCTTGATCGCGAGGCGGGAGGGCTGGTGCGATCTGGATCTGCTGTTAGAACCATACTTCCTTCACTTCCCCAAACGCACGGATGAGGTGGCTTGGTATCCCGGGATCGAGGCCCGCAGTGCCAACATTGCAGATCCGCAGCTGAATCGTCGTGAACCCGCAGGCTCTCGCCGAGTGCGACGTCGCAGATCCATGGCGTACTCACTACCGACTCCATCATGCGGGCCATCCCGCTCGTCGGATCACACGTCTCGCTGGCAAATTCTTCAACATGGCGGCCCTGAACCCCAATGCGCCACCCCTTGCTCCTCAGCCATGATCCTGACTCCCTTTCTGACATTCTCTTTGGATCACTTACGCTAAGCATAATACATGTCATTTCTTCCCAGATCTGAGTTCGCCTATATCTCCACATTTGCCATTTGCCTTTTGATCCATGATTTCTCCAGTGATACATTCTTAGATCCACAGCCGCAATTTAACCTGCCCATTCCATACCCATTTCAAAATCAATCTCGCTCCACTCCGATCCTCTGTTAACATGTTATCATATACAAATCCACATAACCTCTGTCCTCCAATCTGCAACCTCCATGCAGATCCATCGACTTTCAACCACACTAATGACCAACTCACCAGTGAGGATCCCCTGCTCACGGTTTCTCGTGTGATTGCATCACACCGAAACGGTTGCGACTAGCACGATCTCGCAAGAATTCTAACAGAAGAGCACAGCAGTTGAGATCTGTTTCGCCTATCCAAGTCGGATCTTCATATCCGCGCCAGTGTACCAGGAATTCTCGGTAGATCCGGCCATATCTCGTCCTCTTGCCAGTTCTCATGTCAGAAATTTGCTCCACTTCATATTCGTCCGGATCTCGATCTTGGATCCAGCTATCTTCAGGTAGGAGAGCTTCATCGAAGTCCACTCGATCTCCTTCGGATCCACTCAGCCGAGTTGTTGGTTGATCTGGGAATACTTTGACCAATTTGATCTTCGATACATGCACCACCGGAAAAATGCTGTATGTGGATCCTGCTATCTCCAGCCTCACAGCGTGCTCTCCGATCTTCTCGGCAACACGGAAAGGGCCGTGCCATAGGTGTGCCAGCTTGTTTGCATACCCTTCACGCACCCGATCTAGGTATAGCCAGACCCTTGATCCAGACTCTACAGGGTGCGGTCGCGCTAGATCATTATGCGCATCGGCCCGATCCGCGATCGCCTCTCGTAGGCGCTGGTTTACCTGTTCCCTGGCTTGCTGATAATATCTCTGCATCCGATACCGCCACCTTCTGGGATCTCGATCGTGCTTGCGAGTGCTTCCCACCGGGATCACGGCTTCCAGAGTAGATCTAGGATCCCAGCCATGTATCATATAGAAAGGTGTTTCGCCTCGGATCCGATCCCTTGCGGTGTTGGTCGTGAAGGTGAGTCGTTCAGCGTACTCATCCCAATCTCGTTGATCCAGATCCTTCACATACATCTTAAGAGCTCTGGTAGTTGTCTGGACCATACGTTCCGCAGATCCATTGGCTTGGGGCCTATATGCCATAGTAGCTATACGCCATTGTGGCCCGTTGGCGTTGTCCCAAGATTCTTTTAAACGACTTGGAGAAGTCAGACATAAAGCCTGGCTCCCGATCATGTCGGATCACCTCGCTCGCGCCAAATCGTCGAAAGACACATTCTTCGTATGTCTCGGCGATTGTTTGAGCGGATCTAGAGGCACTAGCTTTGGCGATCACGTATCCTGAGAACAGATCCACGAAAATCAGCAATTCGGTGTTGCCGTTGAAGGATCTCGGCAGCGAGGGTATATGATCCATGACAATGATCTGAATTGGGTATGTTGCCTGAAGGTTACTGGGCGATTCGCCCTGGATCCGAGGTCTTTCTTTACCGGTCTCACAGTCGGCGCACTCTCCTACATATCATTGTACACTCCGATACAGACCTCTCCAGTGGAAGTGATCACGGATCCGATCGTAGGTACGGCCGATCCCTTGATGACCACGCTACAAACTCGTGTGATAGTGATGTAGAATATCTTGTTGAAGCGTCTCAGGTATCACTAGTCGCATCGACTTATCCCGATCTGCGGCCGTCTCCTTAGATGTCGGACAGTAGAAGAGTAAATCCTGCTGATTCACTTCGTAATCCATGGCGATAGATCCGAGCATTTTAGCCTCTTCTTGCGTCAGATCTCGGATCTCTCCGATCAGATACTTTTTTAAGCCCATGATCCACGACTCCTCGTCCTGCGCTTGTCAGATCCGCTCGATCCGTAGCTCTCTCACGACTTCCTCTCGTAGGGAATCTGGATCAGATCGCACACGTACCCCCGATCTAGCCTTAGATCGGGTCGTCACCGCTGATACCCGTGTAGTTTCTTTTTCGACTTTCATTATCAGGATCTCATCTAGCCTATTCAAAGTCATGAGTTCCTAGATCTCTACATCAGACTTTATCTCGATCCCACATTGCCGCTGTAGAGCAGCTCCTGCTAGGCTGTCAGCACTCCCATTCCAGTCCCGCTTGACGTGCAATAGTTCATGATCGGGCCATTTTCGCAGTCGATCCAAGGCTTGCTGACGTAACAGTGTCAGACCTGGTGCCTTACAATCAATTTCTCCTCGCACTTGTCGGATTACCAGGTTTGAGTCTCCGCAGATCACCAGACGTTGTGGATCCAGATCCTCCAACAGATCCAGACATAGTAACAACCCATGGTATTCTGCCTCATTCACCGTCAAGCCTTCGGCATACCCTGATCTAGATTTTAACACTTTCCGTTCGGGCAGCTCCCACAAGATCGCGCTGTAGGCGCCTCCACCTCTCTTGACACGGGCTGATCCATCGAAACTGACGGCATATAGCTCCTCATCTCGTCTGATCGTGGGGATCGGAGCTTGGATCTTACGTCTTGGCTCCTTTTTGGGGGCGATTGAGATCAATACCTTATCCACTTCTGATCTAGGGGTGATACTGGCTGCCAGTGCTCCCAAGATCTCGTCCTCTCCTTTGACACACTTGGTAATCTCCAGCGTCCAAGGCGACAACAGAGCGGCCCATTGTCCCAGACGCCCTTGCAAAGCAGTGGATATGAAAAGCCACGCCAATGTTGAGTGTCGGATTAGCACATGGATCGGACGCCCGACCAACGTATTGTAATTTAGATCCAGGATCCTCAGAAGGGCTAACACTTCCTTCTCCGTGATGCCATAGTTTAACTCATTCAACTTCAGAGTACGGCTCGCAAACGTCACGGGGTAGTAGATCTGGTCGTATTCTTGTATCAAGGCTCCCGAGATAGCCCAGTCGCTAGCGTATACCACCACTGTGGCCTTCCGATCTGAGTCAAAATGTCGTAAGATTGGAGTTGTAGCAATCCTGGTTTTAAGCACGTTGAAGGACCGATGGGCATGGATCCAGCGCGGATCCACCTCGGTAGGATCAGGCGCTCCGGATCCGAGGTCTTTCGGCGATCGACGTTCCGATCTTCTTGTGATCTTGGATCTGTGCCTTCTGCTTCCAGTACTTGTCGGATCCACTCTTGGGTAGCCTCTTTCGCCATCGCAGCAAAGTCGATTTCTCGCAATTCATACAGAACCGACGCGTAGATCGCGTAGTCTTCGATAAATCGACTATAGTAGTTCAGACTTCCCAAAAATGACTGCATAGCTCGAAGTGATCCAGGGAATGCCAGATCCGTCAACGCCGACAGATCTTTCGGGTTCGCCTCCAGTCCATTGTGTGAGACCTTATGAATTAGATATTCGACCTTGGGCATTCCCCAGAAACTTTTAACTACGCTGA